CACGGGCTCAGGCAATCCACTCACCTCAGCCTCCCAAAGGCACGGGATTACAGGCTGAGCCACCGAGCCCGGCCATAAACTTTTTAAAGAGATGAGTGATAGAGCTATCTGTAAGTTTCAATTTATATTGTTTCATCCCATGTACAAAACCATTTTTTTCCTACAAATAGATATTTTGTTTTTTGTTTTGTTTTGTTTTGTTTTATGTTGGGGGGTTTGTAAAGGAAAGAATGTTTTATCATGGTTTTTGCTTCAGCGACTTTAGGACAAATTAAAAATCAACTCTGGTGCCAGAAAAAAAAGAAAGATGGAATTCTCCCCAAATCATTTTACAAAGCTAACATCACACTAATACCCAAACTGGCTAAAAATCCAACAAAAAAAAGGAACTATAGGTCAATATCCCTTATGAACATAGATGCAAAAATCCTCAAGTTTCTAGCAAATCAGATCCAAAAACACATCTCAAAAATGATCCACCATGACCAAGTAGGCTTCATGCCCAGGATATAGGACTGGTTCAACATTCACAAGACCATAAATGTAATTAAATACATCAACGAATATAAAAGCAAAAACCACATGGTTATCTCATTGGATGTATAAAAAGCCTTTGATAAAATCCAGCATCCCTTCTTAATAAAAGCCCTCAAACACCTAGGTATAGAAGGAACATACCTCAAAATAGTAAGTGCCATCTACGATAAACCCACAACTAATATATTGCTAAATGAATAGAGACTGGAAACATTTCCCCTAAAAATTGGAACAAGACAAGGCTGCCCACTCTCACCCCTCTTGTTCAACATTGTGTTGGAAGTCATACCTCATGCAATTAGACAAGAGAAGGAAATCTAGGGTATCCAAATAGGAAAAGTGGAAGTCAAGTTATCCCTCTTTGTATGATCCTATACCTTGGAAATCCAAGAGAACCTGTCAAAAATGCTTGCACTGATAAAGGACCTCAGCAAAGTCTCAGAGTACAAAATAAATGTGCAAAAAACAGTTGCATTCCTATACACCAACAACAAGCAGGTCAAGACCCAAATTAAAAGCACAATCCCATTCACAATAGCCACCAAAAAAATGAAATACCTCAGCATCTTCCTAACCAGAGAAGTGAAAGACCTTTACAATGAGAACTGAGAACTACAAAACAGTGCACAAAGAAATCTGAGAACACACAAAAAATGGAAAAATATTCCATGCTCACGAACAGGAAGAATCAACATTGTTAGGATGTCCATCCTACCAAAGGCCATTATAAATTCAATGCAATACCCATTAAGTTACCAGTGTCATTCTTCTCAGACCTGGAAATGACAATACAGAAATTCATATGGAAACATAAATGACCACGAATAACCAAAAAAATCCTTAGCAGAAGAAACAAAGCAGGAGGTATTACACCTCCAGACTTCAAACTTTGCTATAAGGCTACAGTAATCAAAACAGCCTGGAATTGGTACAAGAACAGGCACAGAGACCAATGGAACAGGATAGAGATTCCAGAAGCAAAGTCTCAATTTCTCAACCAACTCATCTTTAGCAAAACCTACAACAACAACCAATGGGGAGAGGAGAACCTATTCAGCAAATGGCGCTGGGGAAACTGACTGATTACATGCAGAAGATTGAAACAGGACCCCTACCCATCACCATACACAAAAATTAACTCTAAATTGGTCAAAGACCTAAACATAAAACCTCAAACTATACAAATCTTAGAAAACGCAGGAGACACCCTTATGGAAATTGGAACTGGCAACCAATTCCTATTCAGAACCCTAAATGACCATACTTTAAGAAATAAGATACACAATGGAACCTTTTCAAACTAATGAGCAAAGCAAAAGAAAACATCAAGAGAGCAGGGAGACAGCCAACAAAATGGGAAAAAGATTTGCCAACTGTATATCTGACAAAGGCCTAACATCTAGGATCTACAAGGAACTCAAAAGTGCCAAAAGTAAAAAACAAAAAGCAAACAAACAAAAAGACAGCCCCATTAAAAAGTGGGCAAAAGACATGAATAGGTACTTCACAAAAGAAGATATATGGGCAGCCAACAGACACATGAAAAAGTATTCAGCTTCACCCATCATCAGAGAAATGCAAATCAAAATCACATTAAGTTACCACCCAACCCCTGTAAGAATGGCCATCATTAATAAAACAAATAACAAAAGATGCTGGCCAGGATGTGGAGAAAAAGGAACGTTTCCACACCACTGGTGGGAATGCAAACTAATGCAACCTCTTTGGAAGACAGTATGACAATTTCTGAAAGAACTAGACATTGACCTTCCATATGATCCAGCAATTTCCTTATTGGGAATATACTTGGAGGAACTCTAATCATTCTACAAAAAAGATACCTACACACGTATGTTTGTTGCAGCTCTATTCACAATAGCAAAAACATGGAACCAACCATGTTGTCCTTTCGAAGCTGGACTAGATTTTAAAAATGTGGTACATATACACAATGGAATATTATGCAGCCATGAAGAAGGACAAACATATGGACTTTGCAGCAACTTGGATGGATTTAGAGTTGATCATACTCAGTGATCTATCACAGAAACAAAGAACAGAGTACCATATGTTCTCACTCATAAGTGGACCTTGAATAATTATAATAGAATAAGAAAGTAATTGGCATTAGTTGGAAACTGTCAGGGGAGTGGGGGTGGGTTAGCAGTTGAGGGAAACTGTTAAGGGAGGGAGGCCCATACCTCATCAACAAGGGTACCTGCATAATCAACGTTTGTATATCTGACCCTGAATTGTACCCCGCATCTTTATAATAATAAAATAATAATAATAATAAAAGAAAATAGAAAGATTACAAGTTAACTGCCTAACAAATCACCGAAGGAAGCTAGAAACACAAGACCACAAAAACATAACTTTAGCAGAAGAATCCAGTTCACCAAAGTAAAAGCCCAAATACAGGACATAGAAGACAAAAATATCATAGAAAAAATCAGCAAAACAAAAAGCTGGTTCTTTGAAAGCATAAATATGATTGAAGGACTTCTAGACAGAATGACCAAGAAAAAGAAAGAAAAGTCCAAATAAACACAATCAGAAATACAAAAAGTCAAATCACAACTGACCCCAAAGAAATACAAAACATTATCAGAGATTACTATGCACACTTGTATGGAAACAAACTTGATAACCTAAATGAAATAGAGGACTTTCTGACATCACACAACCTCCCAAGATTGAAACAAGAAGACACTTAAACACTAAATAGACCAATAATAACCTAGAGAATTGACTCCGTCATAAGAAAACTACCTACAAAAAAAAAAGTTCTGGACCAGACTGCTCTCCAGCAGAATTCTACAAAACATACAAGGAGGAGCTGACACCAATACTACTGAAAGTATTCAGGTAATTGAGAAAGATGGAATTCTCTCCAAATCACTTTATGAAGATAACCTCACACTAACATTCAAACCTGGTAAAGATCCAACCCAAAAAAGAGGTCAATAACCCTAATGAGCATAGATGCAAAAATTCTCAACAAGATTCTAGCAAATTGGATACAACAACACATCTCAAAATTCATCCACCATGACCAAGTAGGCTTTATCCCCAGGATGCAGGACTACTTCAACATTCACAAGACCTTAAAGGTAATCAAATACTTTAACAATATAAAAACAAGAACCACATGATTATATCATAGATGCAGAAAAAGCTTTTTATAAAATCTAGCATCACTTCTTGATAAAAACCCTAAAATACCTAGGCATAGAAGGAACATACCTCATTATAGTAAGTACCATCTATGATAAAACCAGTTTGCATATTATTAAATGGAAAGTAACAAGAAACATCTCCCCCGAAAACCGGAAAAAGACAAGGCTACCCATTCTCACCCATCTTGTTCTAGTTGGAAGCCCTAGTTAGAGCAATTAGACAAGAGAAAAAAAAACAGGGTTACCCAAATAAGAAAAGAGAATGTTAAGTTATCCCTCTTTGATGAAGATATGGTCCTACACTTTGAAAATCCAAGAGAATCTGGCACAAACCTGCTTGTACTGATAAAGAACTTCGGCAAATCTCAGGGTACAAAACAAATGTGCAAAAGATAGTCACTTTCATATACACCAACAATAACCAGGCAGAGAACCAAATAAAAAGCACAATAGCATTCACAATAATCACACAAAAAACAAAATACCTTGGCACCTTCCAAACCAGAAATGTTAAAAAACCTTTACAATGAAAACTAAAAAACACTGCTCAAAGAAATCCAAGAAGATGCAAAAAAAAAAAAAAGGAAACCTATTCCATGATCATGGTTAGAAAGAATCAACATTGTCAAGCTGTCCATCCTACCAAAGGCAATCTACACATTTAGCACAAAACCCATTAAATTACTAACATCATTCTTCTCAGACATGGAAATAACAATACAGAAATTTATATGGAAACATAAACGACCACAAATAGCTAGAACAATCCTTAGTAATAGAAATAAAGTGGGAGGTATCATACTTTCAGACTTTAACCCTTACTCTAAGGACTTTAACCCTTACTATAAAGCTACAATAATCAAAACAGCCTTGTATTGTTACAAGA